AATAAACAAATGGGACCTAATTAAACTTAAAAGGTTTTTCCCAGCAAAGAAAACCATAAACAAAACAAAAAGACAACCTATGGAATGGGAGAAAATATTTGCAAGCAATGTAGCTTCTTTATATTACTAGGTATAATAATCTTTTGGGGGGACAATGTTTCAATTGTTTTGTCTTTTGAATCAGAATTATTAAAGTTATGTAAATGTATGTAAATTTATTGAAAGAACTGAACCTGAGAGGGTATAAATCAAGAAAACTTTTTTTTTCCTACTATCTTATAGAGTTCCCTTCCCAAGAACTAGAGAGCTTTTGTAGTTGCTTTTAGGTGTTAGAACAGTTTTTTTTTTCCCCCAGCTATGAAAAAATGTAATTAAAAAAATTAAGCTGGTACCCAATTCAGAGGGGTATTCTTTTTCCCTAACTGAGGCCTCACCCAGGCATGGCTACTGCTTTCCCAGGCGTCAGAGGAAAGAGAGCAAAAACCTGGATGGAGCCCCACCCTGCCCCAACTGTTGTGCACTCATCCAGCTGTCAACCCTCTTTAGGGCAGATGCCCAACACTTGCTTTTTGGCCAGATGCAGTGGTGGGTTCTTGGGGGTGGGGGCCCACTCTGGGGATGCCCACCCTGCAGTTCCCTCACAAGTGAGGCTTCCCCTGGTTCAGTTCCTGGAAACTTCCTTCTCTCCTGCTTTAGGGGTGCACCCCTGTGGTCTCCTCCAGCCTGGGGGCTGCCCTCTCCACTGGGATTCTTTCAAGGCATCTAGAGCCTGGCTACCTTCTGCAACTTTCTTGTAACCTGAAGGAAAACTCTGGAAGTGCAGGTTACCCCTACTGCTACCTTCTCTCCTCTCTCTCTGTTCTAGTTTCCTTCAGCCAGCCTCCCATCCTCAGACTTCTTTAAGGAGAGGCAGCCACGAGTGTCTCTCTTCTTGTATAGCCCCAAATGCCTGGAGACACTTGTCTACATGTCAGGGTTCCCCAGTCTTCTCGAAAGGGCAAGAAGCCAAGATTCTGCAGCTCAGCAAATATCGAGCTGAGGGTGAGGTACAAGGCGCATCTGAGAGAAGACAATTACAATCTCTAAAAGAGTTTCCTTCAGGGCCCTTTTCT